GGGGGACTGCCTTTTCTGGTCTRTGCATGCTTAGCAGCCTTCAAAATTGTCACTCTGGTAGAAGCAGAATTTGATACTGCAGTCGTAGGAGAAAATGTTCCCCTCTCGGAATCTGGAGAGATTATGAGCAGAAGACAGGAGATRGCAGTGATTGGGAGAATCAGACACRTGGATTTTCAAATTTTGCCTTGAAGAAGATGGGGATTTTGAAATGGGAGAGACAAATATGATTGGTGTGAGGCAGTGTTTTTTCAGTTACTAATGTTACCAATTAGTACAAAATTTTCAGGTCATGTAACACAAATTTATTATATTGCAGTTCTGGAGGGCAGCATTCTAATGTGGGTCTCTCTGGGATTGTATTGGTGGTGGCAGGGCTGCAGTCATTTCTGTAGAGAAGAATTTGCTTTCTTCCTTTTCTAGATTGGCTGAGCATGCACTTTTGACTCATAAACACATTTCTCCATTTTCAAAGCCTCTCTCTGTGCTGGACTTTTGTCACCATGTCTTTCTTTGTGAGTCTTCTGCTACCCTCTTCTACTAAAGGGCTCCTTGAGCTGACTTTGGGACCACCTTGATAATTGAAGATATTCTGTGTAGTTTAAGGTCAACTTGTTACTAATTTTAGTGGAATCCAGAAAATTAATTCTCTTTTCTAACATGTCACCTCATGTATTCCCAGATTGGGCGGATTAGTATGGGTCATAGGTAGACTTAGTAAAAGAATGTCATTGTCTAGATACCAAATTACTGGGCTGGAGAGGAATAATTTCTGCCCTTTCCAGAGTAATAATTTCTGCCATGCACCTTCCTTTCCTATCCTGAAATAAGCTTGTTCCCACATGGTACATAGGCAAAATACCCTTGTTTTTAGCTTTGGAGGCTGATCCCCATATTCCCATTACATGTTAAATCCTGGAAATTCCTTTAGTGATGGAMAGCTGCCTGGAGACTCACTTGCTCAAGAAACGAGGAAATTGCATCATRGTGGATGAGTTAGAACATGTGGGTGGAGGACATATTAGAGATCCTGAGGTTGACTACATGAAMAGGAACTGAGAGAGGACAAAGAACTTTGGAGGGAAGCAAAGTCAGATAGATCCCAATCAAGAGAGKCCTGTTTGCAAATTCTAACAGGCACTTACTAGCTCGAAAATTGAGTAGCATGCTCAGTCCATAGGAATCAGAYAATGCAAATGGGAAAAAATTAGTATTAGGGATCTTCACTTTGCTCCCAACAGACCACATGCCACTTCTTGTCCTATGTTCTCATATTTTCCTCAAAGAGTTACATGRAATGATTGAAACTAATAATTCTCTTCTGTCATCTAGAATGTGMTAGACCATACCAAAATATTCCATGATGTTAACAAACTCACTGACTAGTATTAGAGATCCAGGTCATCTGACGGCTAAGTTATAACCTCATGGGAGAAAGGAGGGGAAGTAGATGATAAGAAATTGGTTCATTCCTCTTCTTGGACTCTAAATTTTTGGAAGAATCACTTTTCAGTGAGAACAGCTCAAGTCCACTAGGGATGAGTCAGGTCATGAGAGGTGATCCTGGACATACTAAAGAGACCAGATCCAGGAACATATTTTCAGAAGTTCTWGGGAAGTTTGAATGAGAACCTGAAAATTGTCATATTGGAGCAAACTGCAGCATGAGAGATTCTGGAAGATGGGAGAGTAAAATCACTCAATCTTTTAGGAATGAGTTTATGCAGCATCGATTTCTCCTCAAGTCATATAGATAAGTCAGAGATAGAACTACACATAGACTGTGGGTGTGRGTGTGTGGATGAGGAGCAAGAGAATAATTGGGATGGGATGGAAGTCTACACTTTCTGATACCCTTACAAATATCAACTAAGCAACCTTTAGTTGAGAACCACCCTTTATTTATATCTACAGTAGGGACACCTTGCTGACTGTGTGGTTGGGATCTCTGGGACTGGGTGTACTGAACTGTGGGTGAGGAAGTTAGTTTACTACTATGAGAAAGACTTTCATTCAACTTCCTATTTTACATAGTCAATTTTTCATGAAATATAGGACAGAAAATTAGATTTGGAACATAGGTGCTCTTGAAAGTGGGTGGACCCTAGAAAAAGATGACATATCGTGAGTGGATTCAGGTTACTAAGGAGAAATGTAATGAGGCAAAGAAGAAAGAGGATATGAATTTTCTCTCTTGATTCTCTGACTATGGAGTTGGCTCCACTATTGGTATTAGTTTTATATTGGTCAGGATTTATGTTTAAATTTTTTATGGAATCAGTAAAAAGATAAAGAAATAATCCATCTTCTGACTTCAAAATAAAAAAAATCTTTGTTCAAAGAATATGTATTGAATTCTTTTATCCAGCTCCTTAATAGGTTAAGAACTAAACTGGA